GCACGGGTGATCTGGGTAGATCTTGGTGGGAGCAGGTGTGCCGCCAAATATCGAGGTCCTAAACCATTTAGGGCCTTATAAGTGAGCATTAAAACTTTAAAGTCGATGTGGAAACGAATAGGCAGCTAATGCAGCATGGCCAGCGTGGGAGAAATGTGCTGGTATTTTCTCACTCCACTGAGGAGTCTGGCTGCTGCATTCTGTACCACTTGAAGTTTCCGCATCAGCCTCAAAGGCAGCCCCATGTAGAGCGTGTTACAGTAGTCTAATCTTGAGATTACGAGCGCGTGGACCAAGGTAGTGAGCGCCCCCGTGTCGAGATAGGGCCGCAGCCGGGCGATCTGCGAGCAGTGGAAAAAGGCATACCGACGCCACCTGCGTTTCCATGGTGAGTGTCGGGTCCAGATGTACGCCCAGGCTGCAGACCCCACTCTTTGCAGCCAGGGTCACCCCCCCAAACGTGAGAGAGTCACCCAAGCCACCAACCATGGGGCCACCCACCCTCCGTCTTGTCCGGATTCAGCCTCAGCCCATTTTCCTGCATCCATTTCAGTACAGCCCCCAGGCAGCGCTGTAGGGACCGGACGGCATCACCTGCAGTTGGTGAAAAGTATATGTAGAGCTGGGTGTCATCGGCATATTGATGACACGAAGCCCCACACCCCCGGTGACCCCTCCCAGCGGCCTCATATAGATGTTAAACAGCATCAGGGAGATAATCAATCCCTGTGGAACCCCACAATTGAGACTCCACAGGGCCGAAACACTCTCCCCAAGCTGCACTCTCTGGGGACGGTCCCCCAAGAAGTAATGGAGCCAGGCGAGTGCCGAGTCACCAATTCCCAACTCGGAGAGCCTCCCCAGGAGGATGCCGTGGTCGACGGTATCAAAGGCCACCAAATGACATGTTGGGACATATTCAAGGAAGCCATGGTTTCCAAGAACTCAAGAGCTGGCCCAGAAACCTCTGCCCCCGCGTACACGTTGAAATCACCCAAGACCAGAAGCCTCGGGGATCCCAACAGTGCCGCGGAGACAAAGTCGGCCAGCTCCAGAAGGGAACTGGCTGGGTTGCGGGGAGCACAGTAACCCAGCAAAATCCCAATACCATCCCTGGCCCCAATCGACACGTGGAGTGCCTCTAGACCTGGCTTTACCACTAAGGAGCGCCTAGTAACCTCCAAGCTGGATTTATAAACAATGGCTACTCCCTCCCCCCCGGCCCTCCAGTCTACCCTGGTGTTGGATGGCATAACCAGGCGGACAGACAAGAGCTAGGGGAGGACCCCCTTCTCTGCCAATCCAAGTCTTGGTTATGCATGCCAGGATAACATTACATGCTAAAAATTCCCAACTAACTCTATCATTATTTAAATGGCTAAACTAAAGTGGAATAGTTTTCACCGAGATAGCCATCTTAGGGTATGACTAAACTGCTGAAATAAATCAGGTGCTGGATTTGGGGGTTTGAAATTGATTTAAAATCACATGGTTTTTATGTTGGTGTGTGCATCCTCTTGGGACAATTTTTATTCCTATATTACCATGTCTTTTCCACAAGAGCCTGCACAGAAATAGCAAGCGGAGGGTGAGGAGCAGACAAGCAGGGAAAGAAGAGTCTCGACTGTCTCAGCAACCCGTAGGATAATTTCCCCTTGTGCTCAGTTCCATTTTCTCAACCTGGTGGCAGTAACAACACAACCAAGTCAAATGTGCTGTTTATATACAGCCCCATAGTGCCTGAAGCTTTCTCTGGACATTTTAGTTTGCCTGCTACACATTGCCTCCACCCAGCAAGCTGGGAACTCAATTTACTGACCTGGGAAGGATGGAAGGCTGAGTCAACCTCAAGCCAGATACTTAAGCCGAGGACAAAACTCAGGTTATGAGCAGAGTCTTCACTGCAGTACTGTAGTTTAACTACTGCATCATAAGAATCCTGTCAGTTCCCCTAATAAGGGAATATTTAGTTTCATCCCTATCGTTCTTCATCACATTGGGTTTCCATGACGTGGACGTCTCCTTTCTTGTTAAGTTACCCTTCTTCTCAAGTTACTATGCATCTCCCCTTTTTCTTTTTCACTCATTAGCTCTTCAGGAGCCTCACAGCAGCTTTGAATGGCCAATTAGAATTGCAACTAATCAGTGTAAATGTTTTCCTTTCTTCTCACTGCTGCTCCTGCTTTTGGGTTTAGAAAATTGGGCTTCTTCTGATCTGATTAGCCTTCAAGGAAAGAATTACATGTCTGCCCTTCTCCCCCACCCCCACCCAACACGCTGTCACAATCTCGTCTTTTAAAACCTTCCTGGATATGCAATTGGAATGCTAATTTGGGGGGGGGAGGAGCTACACTAATGAATGCATGCAGAGTTTCTGTAAATACAATCATTATATTTACTTTAATTTTTAATGCACTTCGAAGTGTCATAGCACTAGATCCATGTTACAGATTTAAAAACCCAAGAGTCCAGACTGTAAAGCATCCTACAGTCTGAAACCCATGATCCTGGCGCTTGACAAATCCACATACACAGTTCACTCCGAAACAGGCATTCACATATGCCCAAATAAATTGTGCTCATAAATGAGTTAAAATAAACATACTGTAATTGAGTTAAAATACCCCTCATGGGTATTTTAAAAAATCTTGAGCTTATTTTAAAAAATCTTGAGCTTTTGCAATTACAATCTACTTCTTCAGATGTGTGAAACACTATATGTGCTTTTGTTGGCTGCTTTCTTGCAAAAAACCGAAAGAAAGATTAAACATTTATTTGCAGTGCTCTGTCTCTTGAGATTTGAGAACTAACTGGCCTAGTTACTATTCAGCTGCACAGTAAGGTGATTACATTGTAGCAACATATATATTAAGCCTGGCCTACCAAATCAAATTAACTACCAGGGATGAACAATTTGTGCCCCTCTAGATGTCCCGTTATAACTTCCCTAATCTCTCACCATTGGTTATGCTGGTTAGAGCTGATGGGGTTTGCAGAGCCCCAAGTTACCCTCACTTGCAGTTGACTGTTGCATGTCCCATTGGCCTATGGTAAAATATTTTCCATAAACCATGGAATATGAAATAGTTGCTCAAGGCTTTCTATTTTGTAAAGAATTGAAAAGAAGGCATAAACTGGATAGTAATATACCATCATGCAATAGTACAGCATACAATTTGTATATACTGTACAATGTTTTCTTTGGGGCCTACTAGTTAACATCTCTCAGGTTGTGTAATGTTTTTGGTAGTTAGATGCCCACTCACTTAGAATGATGTTAGGCAGCAATACTTAGAGATTTTTCACAACATGCATACAATTCCACAGCTGTGAAAGCCAGACTAAAAGCAATCTCTTCATCCCCCCCCCCAAAAAAAAAAGCTGAATAAAGGATACAAGGAAGAAGAAGAAAAAGCAATAATGAAAACGAAACCCTATGGAAGTTTGAATCTGACTGCTCTATAGATTCAAAACTGAGATTGTTCAGTTGAGGACATATCAATTCTCCAAACAGAGACTGCTCAAAGCAGCAACTCTCAGGCTTCATGGAATTTCCATAGCAATAAAAGCAGATGTGTAGCCTGGATAATAATTTTTTACACAGCAGCCATTTAGCAATTCTCACCCAACTATTCCAAAATTAACAGTCCTTTAAATCAGAGTTCCCCAACCCCTGGTCCATGGCCCTGTGCCAGTCCGTGGCCTGAGCCGGACTGGGCCAAAGAGACAGACCTCCTCCCACGCACAGCCTGTTTGTGCCTGTGCCCACGTGAGTGCTCCCCACCTCTTTGCACATGCGCACAAGTGCCCCCTGAGCGCCGTGCTGCCTGTTGTGCATGAGCAAGCACCCGCATGAGCACTGTGCCGCCCTTTGTACATGCGCACAAGCGTGCCCGCTACTTTGTGCACAGGCTCCTTTGCCCATGTGCATGAGCACAGGGGGGTGCACCACCTTCTCCAGCCGGTCTGCAGGGCTAAAAAGGTTGGGGACCGCTGCTTTAAATGAGTATCAATAGGAGCACATCTCAAAAAACAAAGTGAAGGACATTTGAAGAGCAGTATTTTTTCACCGTAATTAACTATAAAACTCCTAAGATTCTCAATGCATGAAGAACCAGGCTCACCCAAAGAACAAATATTTCAGGGAATGAAGGGAGGAGATATTAAATATCTCAATATTAAAATGTATATGCTCTGAATAGAATAAAAACATAAGTCCTTATCCACTGTTTGAAGAAAGTATCAGCAAATTGTGGTACAATGTGTTAACCATATCAGTAAACCTGGCTTGCACTCAGTCACGTGCCTGTTCACCTCTGCAAAGGAAATGTGTCAAAGCAACCAGCCCCACTGGTTGTAAGAATACTGGGCGTGGGGTTGCACTCTAGAACTGCTGGCAACACTAAGTGGAAACAAGTATCTACTTCTTGACTTCACATGTCATGAAAATAGTTTTAATCTAGGAAACATAATTCCAGTTCAGAACAGTTTCTCATTCTTATTTTCGTGGTTGATGACCAACACAGAAGCATATGCTTGGCTCACGAGTATGCAATGAAAGTCAGCTTATAGTCTGTCATTACACCGGGATGAGTAACCACTTGTCGCAGGCAACTCTGAAGTTTAATCTATAAAATTCAAGCTACTTGCACTTCAAGTTATGAAATTCTAAAAGTTATATATATGCAGTGTTCTTCTGGCTTCAACAAGTTACACTTCTTTTAAGAAAGAAGTTAAGTCATACAGCTCAGGAGATAGTGCTAGATATGTCCTTCTGCATCTTCCTGCCATTTTCAAGTCTACTGGATTAAGACAAAACAAAGTTGTGCCCATAGATTAACATGAGGAACAAGAAAGCAATCTCGACCACTATTGCTAGGAGGCTCTTCCATCCAAATCAAATGAAGGCAGAAATCCGTCTCTCTGACTGGCTTCCAGTTGTTCAGGAAAGCAATCAATCTCTGCTACACTTGATTCCAGAGCAATGAGACTGGAATGTGCAGGTAATCACAGCAATGTGGTAGACAGCAAACACACTGGTAACTCCCGAAATAAAATGATAATCAGCGTCAGTCATTTGAACAAAATATTCTTATGCTCTGGGTCTACATTTGTAGAAAATCTGGGTGGCAGAGTTCTTAGGAAACAGGCTTGATTTTGGATTATAGCCCCTAGCCAAAAGAGTTACAGTCCACCCTGACACTTCATTCTGTTGCATATATAGACTGGGCGCTAATCATCTATGTGCCCTTACATGCCTGTTCACCTGTTTAAAATATATGCACTATGAATATGTTCCTATTTATTTTTAACACTATAGGAATACATTTAGAAAAGTGAACAAAGGTTGTGCATTAGATATACATCTCACCATTTCCATATTTATGCTCTACAAATAAACATTTGAGAATTCTATTACCTTGTCTTTTGACTGACCCTGACGAGCAATAGCATCGTATTTTATTTTTCCTTCTGCATCGACCTGAACAGCTAACGCATTGGACATTTTCTTTTTTCGGCCCATATCCAGAGGATACTGAGCAACATGAATTTCTGGGAAAGCACCTCCATCTCCAAAATCCTGTACAGAAATAAAAGTGGAAGTTATAAGCAAGATAAGTAAAATGGTAGTTATTAGTACTGGGACCCCAAGTTTCGATATAAGGCAATGGGGAGGAGAAAATACTGAGTATCCGGCAGCCCTTTGTTTGGCAAGTTGAGAGATATAATCCAACCAAAGGTCACTGGGGTGGAATCTAAGTCTTTTTATTTCTTCTTTTCTTATTCTATCCCATCTTGGCAATCCTTTCTTAAATTAATTGTCTTAATTAATATTGCAATTGTATTTTTATGATTATATATATTTTTATATTGATTTATTTTATGTTGTATGCCGCCCCGAATAGACATGGTCTAGAGGGGCGGGGTATAAATTAAATATAT